GCTCCAGAGTGCGTGGGCTCTGCAGTTTGCAGCATGCAGGCTCTCTCTTTAAGGCACGCGAGCTCAGTAGTTGTGGTGTGCAGGCTTAGCTGCCCCACAGCATGTGGGTCTTAGTTCCCCGACCAGGGATCAAACCCACATCCCCTGCATTGGAAGGTGGATTCTTTACCACTGGACCACCAGGGAAGTCCCTGAACTGTATGTTTTAAAATGGTTAAAATGGTAAATTTTATGATATGTATATTTAATCACAATTTTAAAAATCAAATTAAAAAAAAAAGAGGAAGGAAAAACATGATTTAATTGCTCAAACCACAGAGCTCTTAATACCATAAGTGGGTCTCAAACACAGGTCTGTTTGATTACCAAACTCCTGCTGTTAACTCCCATTCTATACTGCCTTTATAAAAAATCAATGCTCCTTTCCTTTTAGTAGATAGACATTAGGTCCTAAAATCTTTTCCAGGCTAACCACCTTCAAATTCTTTGGCTAATCCACATACAACAAGATATGATTTCCAGCCCAATTCTAGATGCTTTCCTGTAAGTACATTCTCATGCTTGTATCCGTTAGAGCAGCAGTTCTCAAACTTTTGGCCTCAGGACACCTTTTTACTTTCAAAAATTACTGAAGACCTCAATGAGCTTTTATGTGAGTTAAATATATTGATATTCAAAATTAAAACTGAGAAATTTTAAAAAACTCTTAAAAATAAACATGTCAATATAAAGAATATTTGCAAGTAAAAAATAACTATTTTCTAAAACTTCAGTAAGAAAAATGGCATTTTTATATTTTTCCAAATCTCTTTAATGTCTGACTTATTAGAAGACAGCTGAATTCCTATATCTACTTCTGTATTCAATCTGTTGAGGTATTTTGTTTTAGTTGAAGTATATGAGGATAATCGGGCCTCCTACAGATAGGTAGTTGGAAAAAGGAGCAAATAAATGGCCTTTTCATATCACTGTAGATATTCTTTAATACACCAGTACTCAACAAGTCATAATTTCTTACAAGCTAGTTGCAATGTGGAACCCAAAACTGTATCAATGAATTTTTTGTACTCTGTTACATTAAAATCTATTGGTCTTTCTTGAACTTTGAATCAACCTCTTATCCACTGTATTAGTTATCTATTGCTCCAATACAAATTACCCACAAAACTTAATGGCTTAAGACCACAAACATTTATTATTATTTTTTAAAATATTTATTTATTTATTTATTTTGGCTGTGCTGGGTCTTAGCTGTGGCATGTGGGATCTAGTTCCCTGGCCAGGGATCGAACCCGGGCTCCCTGCATTGGGAGTACAGTCTTAGCCACTGGACCACCAGGGAAGTTCTCACAAACATTTATTTTTTTTTAACAGTTTCTGTGAATCAGAATTTGCACATGCTTCCCTGGGTAGCTCTGACTCAGGGACCCACCTGAGTTGCAGTTATGATGCTGGCCTGGGCTGCTGTCACGTGAAGGTCTGACTGAAGACACAAAGGGTCTGGAGTTGCTCTGCAACTAATCTAAAGTTACCATCATGTTGTCTATATTCTTCTAGCTTATGGGGGTGGGTAGCAGAGACACCTAAAGTCCAAAATCCTACCTGTTGTATTTCTCTATTTTAATAACCCTGCTTAATAGTTTTTTTAGAAATTCATGCAAGCTCAAATGGTAACAACATAATTTTAATAATTCTATATGTGTAATATACTGTCTTACCATATACCATCTTCTCTCTTTAAAAATTTTCCCAAATATCGTGGATATTTTTCACCTTAGCAAAATTCTTAAATTAGCTGAAGGAGCAGGATGCCCTCCCCAAATTCCACCCACCAAAAACACTGTATCTACCTTGGGTTTTGTATTAGTCTGCTTGGGCTACCGTAACAAAATGTGACAGACTGCATGGCTTAAAAAACAGAAATTAATTTTCTCACAGTTCTGGAGGATAGAAGTCCAAGATCAAAGTGCAGGGCTGATGTCTGGTGAGGCCTCTCTTTGGGGTGCAGACAGCTGCCTTCTCGTGTGTCCTCACATGGCCTTTCCTCTGTGCTTGCGTGAAGGGAGATCTCTGGTGTTGCTTCCTCTTCTTATAAGGACACCAGTCCTGTTGGATTAGGGCCCCTATGACTTTACTTAACATTTATACCTTCTTTTTTTTTTTTTAATACCTTCTTAAAGGCTACATTTCTAAATACAGTTGTCATAATAGGGGTTAAGGCTTCATATGGATTTAGGGGAGAAAACATTTGGGGGAAAAGCCTTCAATTACTCTGTCCAATATTTGTTTTATCCTTTTCCGAATATAACTCAACTTCAAAAAGATGAAATAGGAAATGAGTAGTACTGTTTTTGTTACTTAATAATAATATATTAAAACTTCAAGCAATGGACTCATGTGTTTCTTAAGATTTAACTTTTCAAACCCTTTTTGATATTTCCCACATTTTTCATAAATTTTGGCTCATCATTTGGCACTTTACCCAGATACTGTTCTTATGGTTTTGCATCAAGAATTCTATTTGATTATGTGTTCTTTCCCTGCCAGAAGGCATTAGAGAGAGAAAAACGGTTTAGAGCTATAAGTTGTAGCTCACTCATTTATTCTGAAATGAATACCCCACCTTCCCCCTCCATCTGCTTTGTTCTTATCTTTCTACTATATTTGGTCTTAACTCCTCAAAAAGCTAGCTATGTTTGGGGAAAAGCTGGAAAGCCCAGGACAGCAAAAGTAAGGCTGCTCCCAAATGTAACCGTTTTATATTAATGAACTGGGAAACAAATATGAAATCAAAGAATAAAAACAAAAGGCTTTGAAATGAATAAACTGATATGCCTCCAACTATAAACTCTGAGAACTTAGGGACTTCCCTGGTGGCGCAGTGGTTAAGAATCCGCCTGCCAATGCAGGGGATGCGGGTTTGAGCCCTGGTCCGGGAAGATCCCACATGCTGCAGAGCAACTAAGCCCGTGTGCCACAACTACTGAGCCTGTGAGCCACAACTACTGAGACCACGTGACACAACTATTGAAGCCCACACACCTAGAGCCCATGCCCCACAACAAGAGAAGCCACAGCAATGAGAAGCCTGCGCACAGCAACGAACTGTAGCCCCCGCTCACCACAACTAGAGAAAGCCCACGTGCAGCAATGAAGACCCAATGCAGCCAAAAATAAATAAATTTAAAAATAAACAAACTTTGAGAACTTATAATCATGCTTAAAATATATATCTTCAAAAATAGAAGTACTGAGGTTTGAAAATACAATCAGATGAGCTTTTCCCTAGTAATTTCTAAAGTGTTGGAAACTGCTCAGAAGTTTTTCAAAAGGTGCAGACAACAATCTCTTCTGATACCCAGGGCCAAATGAGCAACAACAGAAAAGGTACTGCCTCTACCATATCTCGGGGCCTCCATCTCCTTCATCTTCCTTAGGGGTTTACCATGATCATCACTTCACCATCAGCTACCTCGCTTCATCTCACTTTCTGTTTAAAGATTTTTTTTTTTTTAAAGAAAATATAACATTTGCTGAGGGAAAAAAATTGGCAGGAGTGTATGCCCCACTACATGCAATGATTTTTGGAATGCGAGGGACCTTTACTTTAGCATTTCTGAATTTCTATAATATTTAAATTTAAATGAGCATGCACGGGCTTTCCTGGTGGCACAGTGGATAAGAATCTGCCTGCCAATGCAGCGGACACGGGTTCGACCCCTGGTCCGGGAAGATCCCACATCTCGGAGCAACTAAGCCTGTGCGCCACAACTACTGAGCCTGCGCTCTAAAGCCCGCGAGCCACAACTACTGAAGCCCGCACGCCTAGAGCCTGTGCTCCGCAACCAGAGAAGCCACCGCAATGAGAAGCCCGTGCACTGCAATGAAGAGTAACCCCCGCTCACTGCAACTAGAGAAAAGCCCACGTGCAGTAACGAAGACCCAACACAGCCAAAAATAAATAAATAAAATAAAAATCAAATAAACGAGCATGCATGTCTTACTTTTGTAAGCAGAGAAGATGATTTTTTTAAAGAAACTGGCAAAAAATTATCTTGTTGAAATAAAAATTCTCTACGTATAATCTTTATTTTGATAATTTATCTTATATTCATATATCCACTTCCATTAAAGTGAAACAAAATATGCTTATTTCCATTTTTTTCCCATCTGTATTTGACTAGCAAATCAATATTTTCCACTTTCTTTTTTCCACTGTGTGAAAAATTTACTCACTGATCTATATGAGAGGAAAAACCTGTTTGTAATATGAAGTAGGTCATTTAAAAGTGAAATCTAAAGATGGGAAGTTGAGAGGAAAAAAAACTGCTGAAAATAGCACTGTTTAACTTAAACAGAAGGGGTAACTTGGTGCCAGGACATAAGTTAATACTTCCAAGGAACAGGAAGAATCCACACAAAGAACCAATTCTAAAATGATCTCTTCATTTTTAATTTCTTAAAAAGCGTGTTCACAGCACACTCCAAGAATGACACACAGCAAGTTTGCTGCTATTGTCAGAGTATGTCAGAAAACAAAACAAAACAAAACGTAATGGTTAATTGTTTTTAAAATTAGTTCTCTGAAACTTCTGTAAAGCCAATCATCACCAGTCATCTAAATATTTCTTGCATAGTGGTAAACATTTCAGAAACGTAATGAGTACCCCAAATCACACTTCTCTGAAATTCAATTAAAAGTTATACAACAGAAACAAAAATATTTTTCTAGAAAGAATATATTTGGCATTTTAAAATAATTTTAATGTAGAAGCTTTCAAGTGTAAAGTTCAGATTTTTACTTTCTATTACCAAACAGAAAGGTTAGGTCTTTAGTGATTCCAATCTGATTCCAACAATAGGAGGAATGATTCTGTTGCAGTGAATGAGCTTCAATCCTAACAAAGCCAATGTACTTTGGCTGCATTAAGAAGTGGAGTCCAGCCAGTACTAAACATTATTAAAAGTGATGCCAGATAGTTCAAATTAGTTGGTTAATTTGGTACCCAACTTGTTTTATACATACCTTTCATCATTTGATGATACAAATGTTTCTAATTAGCTTGCTATATTTCTCTCAAAATCAATTAGTAAGTATATAGTTTGAGTGAAACGTAAACTGAACTTTGTTTCACTGACTTCATTAAAATGTCAAACATGGTTAAAGATTCCATTCTGTCCTTCTAGATAATTTACATTTTCATTATAAATGCAGAGCAGCTGCACCGTGAGTTACATCCTAACCATTTCACCTAAATGTAGAAAAGCTGAAAGTTAAATTTAAAAAATTTCGATAGTTGAAAAGTACTTATATCTCTTTCAGAAACCGATGATGCCTTTCCTTGCATATGAGTGTGGAAAAGAAGAATTCAGTTCATAATTCAAGATGCACCAAAAAAAAGTACTTTGCTTATGTCTATTTCTGTCAGCCATTCTGAAACCAAATTTCCATTTATATCAGCTACTAAAGACAAGAAATTTTCCTTTAGAATCATGGTCACAGTCTGGAAAAAGAATTGAGAAGGGCTAATTTTAGGTAAATAAAATATATGTGGAAAGACGCAACACAAAACAGGGAGGTGAAAAAAGCAAGTAAGTTGTAATAAAAGCCTCCCTTGAAAACACATCTGTCCCTTCCTCCCATATTTGGAAATGTTAAAAATTCTCATCAAAACATTTTATGCCACAAATCCTTAAAATCAGGTTGATTTCAGCTAGATAACCTGTAGCTGTTAAGAATTGTATTATCCTATTCATATCACGAGAGGTAGTTGACATTTCAGTCTCTCAATGCCGAGCTAAAAATTCCACATACCTGGCATATGGGTTACAAGGGGAAAAAAGCACAGAAGCACCATTGTACATTCCTCATGTTTTGGTATTTCAAGTCACCCATAACTTCATTTGCTAATGGCAACTGACAATCACCACTGTGTTAACACTGAAAGCAGTGGATATTAGTGCTATTCATCGTATAACACTGGCGGACCTCCATCATCTTTCAAAAATGAAGCAGCTTTCCTTCCATTCTTCTGAACGTGATCTTCATTCATTTTCTCCAAAGCTTCTATCTATAAAATTAATATATTAAATCCATTTGTCAAAATCCTACTTCACAGCAATTATGCTTGAGATTGAACCAGTATTTTTACTCTCTTAAAACTAGGTCATTCCTAACGACATTGGCCTTGAATTAGAATTACAGTGTGTGACACATATTACAGTGGGTCATATACATGTATGTTTTTCCTTGATTACATTACCAGGGTTGATGTTTAGTGTCTTTATCAAGCCAGCAATTGGCATCAGATATGTTTTACTATATAACCTATACAGCTTTCAGGGAACAAGAAAAGGAAATTCCAAAGTTGATTCAACAGCAGTAACACCCAGTAACTGTACAGAGCAACTGTACTGAACTAAATAAAGCCTGGATTTACCATCTTCCTGTTACTTCGCTTCTGGCCTTAGACTCCAGCACAGCTTGGCCAAATTCAAGTCAATATGGGGATTTCTGGAACAGACTCTATAATCATTCTCTGCTTTGGCAGGTTGCTGGGAATAATTAGCTGCTGTTTCACTTTTCAGTTTTTGTTCAATTTTAAGAGAACTTCCCCGGAGGTTTTTTTTTTTTTGTATTGTTCTGTAGGTCCATATTGTAATGACTGGGTATTTCCAAGGATGGCCACTGCTGAATCTCTGCATTCAGTTAAAGGCAGACAGGGACCAAGTGTTACTGTTTTTTGTGTCACCCAGAGTGTTCACCGGTCAGGGAAAAAGGCATATACTGGAAATGTGTTATTTGTCCATCTCAACCAAACTATGAACTCCTTGAAGAAGTGTTTTGCTGTTATGTTTATCCTAGGGTTTAAGCCAGGAAAAGAAGGATCAAAAACAGTATCTCAAGAAAGGAAAAATCTCTAATTAATTTTGTTTTTGAGGGGATGAGAGGATAAACTTAGCTCTGGTTTTCATTATCTACTCTATGCAGGTCCCCACTATCAGCAAGGTGAAAAACAGCCTTATAACACTTACCTCAGCTAAGAAATCAGCTTCATTATCTGCTGAGATGTTTAAGCCTGAAACGGCATTGAAGAGTTCTCGTTCACTAAGAGCTTCCTTTACGCCTCCTTTCTGGAAAAACTAGTAAAGAAATATAAGAAAGTCAGTAGACTTATTAGCAAGGTTCTCCTAGAAACAATAACAACAACAAAAAACAGGGAATAGTGTACTTGTAAAACGCCAGTGAATTCCTTCCATAATTTTTAAGCTACAGATGTTTCCAATTCAAGTATAACTACACTCAGGTTCTACTTGCTTACTGTCCTCTCACACATCTGGGCTGTCGTCTAGATTTAGTAAGTTTGTCATATTGCACCTTCTATAGCTATGTTATGAGTGGTATATGTAAAATTGCTTGGCATTGCTTTGAATTAGTAGACACAAAATAATCACTAAATCCCATGAATTAAAATTTTCCAGTAGGCTCAGAAAGTATTTCCAAAATAAAGTTGTTCTGTCATATTTAGAAAGATCATCTCTATCTGAATCTGTTGCTGACAATTCATTTCCTTTAGAAATAGCAAACAAATGCTTCCCAACTCTGTGATTACTGAGTTTTACCTTCCCTATTCTGTTCACTCTGCCTCAGAGAATGTGGTCAGACTGTACCACTAGGAAAACTATTCTTTTAGTATAATAACAATGGCAATAAGCATGCAGGCTTGCTTCAGGCCAGCTTCCCTTAAAGCACTGTGCATATATTAAATGTCTACTTGACTGCTTAAATATTTAGAACCAAAATAAAAACTTACTCTCTTGGAAATTTAATTCAGTGGCCCAAATGTGGGGCATGCAATCAAATTCTTGCAAAAAATGAAATCTGACAAATCAATCTTTGTCTCTTTACCTTGAAAGCAACCAGTTAACTAAACCCTTCCTTTAATTTCTAAGAATACAGTCATCTTACTTGCCTTAGGAGTGAGAAAAATGTTTGAATATGTTATAGCCCATAAAAAAGACAGTTAGTTTATATGCCTACCTGTGAGACATTCCTACAGTCACGGAACAAGAACTCCAGGCCATGAGGATGGGTTGGCTCTACAGACTGACTGACGTCGATCAACCAGACCTATTTAAATATAGAGCACACAGTGATTTCTGTACCTTCAGTAATTTAATTTACATCAAGTCACTTAACCTGAACGTTAAGAAAATGCTCCTCACCTTCCCAGCATGCCACAGCATGTTGTACTCACTGAGGTCGGCATGTACGAGCTTACACTCATTATATAACTGCTGCATCAACTGTAATGAGGCAAGGCAGACATTCAGAAAATGAAGGAACAACTCTAATTTAACTACACAACTAAAATGTCTATGTCACCCAATATTTTCCATAAAGAGCAAAACCAGGGTAAAGAACTTACTTCTTTGCACAGTCTAGGACTGGTTTTCTTTTTTGTTTTCCTACCCTGAAGGAGGGTGTGAGCACAGTGAGACAATGGAAGGGAAGAGCATGTGACACTCTACTTCCCTATCCATGTAACAGCAATGAGATCAGGAGACCAAAGGGTAGTCCTGGAATCCCACATACATAAGACAGCTATGGTCACTAACCAGGGGACCTAGGCTTATCCTTCATGAAAGGGCAAACATCCCTCTGAGAGCTCTATGGAGTGTATACAACTCCAAGGTACAAAGTACTTCCTGCCAGACAGAGTGGGAAAGAAGTATTCTTCTTAATTGAGCGGCATTATATATTCATGACTGATGGTGACCCCTAGCCTCACAGAAATCAGCATTAATGCTTCGTTTCCCAGCTTTAATAGAATCAAATAGGAAGGCACATCACTACTTTATCTCTGCCCCAGCCACCCCACAGCCGAAAGAAGCCAGAAAAGTAGGCTTAATTTTCTTTGAATGTTTTCCAACTGAAGGCAGAGAAAGTTGGATTATCTCTCTAACTATATCTTAAAAAATTAATTTGGATAATACGTTCATATTCACATCAACTGCCGCATGACATAAGAGTTCCACGCAGAGACTGTGTTAAAAACATGTTTTGGACTTCCCTGGTGGCGCAGGGGTTAGGAATCCTCCTGCCAATGCAGAGGACATGGGTTCAAGCCCTGGTCCGGGAAGATCCCACATGTCGCGGAGCAACTAAGTCCGTGCACCACAACTACTGAGCCTGCGCTCTAGAGCCCACAAGCCACAACTACTGAAGCCCACGTGCCTAGAGCCCACGCTCCTCAACACAAGAAGCCACAGCAATGAGAAGCCCGTGCACCGCAATGAAGAGCAGCCCCCGCTTGCTGCAACTAGAGAAAGCCCGCACAGCAACGAAGACCCAATGCAGACAAAAATAAACAAATAATTTATTAAACCACAAAAAAAACATTTCTCCACTATTCAATTAAGACAAAAAAAAAAAAGACAATACAGAGGAACAGCAACAATATGAGGAGCATTTCTTAAGCTTGAAGGACCCCAGATTGAATTTGGCTGCTGTCCCAAAGTATGAACAGCTTTCTCAAGACTCCTGACAAGTGCCTCCCAACTCTAATGCCTGCACAGACGGAGAAACCACCCCTTACTATCTTCTTTTCATCATCACTTACTTTTATTGACCAAATCTGCTTCCCTCTAATTCCCCAACAGGAAAGGTATTTCCCTTCACTGTTTCAAAAAGGCACACAAACTAATGAGGCACTCTGTCTGCTAAATATAGTAACATCAAGTTTTAGTTAATGAAGTTTTGTCAATAATAGCTTCTGGCTTCTATGTCATTAATGCTAACAACTGAGCCTTCACTTTCTCCACTAAGATTTTCCTAAAACAACTCAAGACATACGCATACTGATATAAAGACAATTCTTCAATACTAACATTCTTTCACAAACTTCAGTTTGTCCTTGTTATATCACCTTAAAATAGTACTATTTTAGGAATTTCTTTTTTAGTTTAGAGGAAATATTGTTTAAAGTTGGTGTGTCAATGGTCTGAAAGGCACAACTTACATGAAGAGTTTGATAGTAGGCTTCTTTCATTTCTTCACTGCTGAGCTTTACTTCTTTCAATTTTGGGGCTGGAACTTGATCATGGCCAATAAAAGACATAACCAAAATGTGTTTCTTTAGTAGCACAACTGTTGGACAAGGAATTCCAGCTCTCTGCATTCTATACAGAAAGAAATGATTAAGAATGTAAAGATCAGAAGGAGAGGAAATTTCATTTATTCAACAAATATCTAACGAGGTCCTGCAATGAGGGGACACTATGTTGTAATCTGGGGAATGTTGGAAGGCAAAGGCAGTAAGAACAGCCTCTGCCCTCACGGAGCCTGCGGCCTGGTGAAAACAATAGACAAGTGAGGAGATGATTACAGCGCAATGTGGTACATGCACTGGCAGAGGTGGGGGTAGGAGGCATCAAGGAAGAAGCAGGCAAATAGGAATTAGCCAGGTTCCAACTGTGGGGAGATGCTGTGGAGATGCACAGAGGAGTCCAGGAGCACAGTCCATGCGGGGAGTGTGTATAAATCAACACAACTGGATCATGAGTAGGAGGAAGGGCAATGTGGGTTTAGGCTACAGAGGCAGGCAGGCTCCACATCGCAAGATGACTTTGAACTTTACACCAAAGACTATGGGAGCCGCTGAAAAATTTTAAGAAAGGCAGTGATGAGATCTTAGTAATCCAGAAAAGAGATCGGAGGGCAGCAAGACCTCTTAGGAAATTATTCTAATTAGAAGTCCTACTAAGTAGAAGACTTTTGCAGCTAATAAATATAGATAATTACTTTTGAAAGCAAACATCTTTAGGAAAAGCAAACTAAAATTAAAAGCTTTCACAGTTCAGATGTGGGCAGGTTTGTATGTAAGAAAGATTATTAATTTCTTGGTTGGCAAAGCAAATTCCTTGATAAATTCTGCATAGAGAATTGAGAAACAAGTCTAATAAATTAAAGCAAAATGCAATTTGACTGGTAAAACCCTGCCCTCACCAAATGAACAAACATTAGATGGAATAAACATTTTCTGAAACAAAAAAGGAAATCATTATTTGTAATATGCCTAACTGGAAAAGATAGCGTTTAGATATATGACAAAATATCTGCAGTTGAAAATGACTTAATTTCCCTCAAACTTTACTGAGGAAAGAAAAACAAAATAGATTTTTCATCCTAAAAGTATGAATTCAGGTTATATACATGGAAATGTTTTCTTACAGAAACTCTCCTTAAGCACTAGAATTTCAAGGCCTTTCATACTTTCTATAAATGAATTTAAAAGAGAGTGTGGGTTTTTTGCCTGGCTGGTAGGCCTAATACAAACAGGTGATCACCCAAGATGACTTCTAGCACGATGATTTTCTTTACCTTGTGAGATTGTGCATTTCTTTTTCTGCCCACATGCGGATGATCTTACGTGGATTTAGTTTACTGAAGCGATCTTTAAACCTGAAATCATCTTTAATATATTTGTCACGATTCTTAAACTCATTAAGGGTTGTTTTAAATACCTTGATGGCACATTCTGTAGGTATAACTTTACTATCTTCCTTTTCATCCTCCATGCTAAGTGGAAGAAACAAACATTAAGTCAGTTCAAGTCGCCAGATAACAAAACAATTTCAAAATAAAGATTTTATGACACGAAAGTGGATCTGCCTTCTCTGAGAATGTAAAGCCTTGGGTTGTTTTTTTTAAGCCTTCAAGTTTGAGGTCTTAAGAAAACCCTAGGTTTTAGCTTTTTTAATAAAACACACTTTCAAATAAATTTTCAACAGTTTTCAACAACCCATAATATAATCTTCATTTAATGACTATGGAATTAAACTTGAGGAACAATGAAGACCTATACACTTTAAAATAGGCTATGGTCTGCCTGGGATGGTTCAGAGGCAAAACTCGATGGAAGGGAGCAAAAGAGTCTAGACGATGCTTAGGATGCTAATTCAACAGTCCCACAACAGTGAGCCACTGAGAGGGTCTGAACCATGGTGGTGACAGTGCGAACCAAAGGGGGAAGGTGCAAGGAGAGACAAGATTTACCTTTGAACCTCTGAAGGGATGTTAGTCTGGAAAAGAAAGGAACTATATCTAGAGCACAGAATCTGACTCAAACTCCCAATCCCCTCCTTCTGGGACCATATTTTCCCAGCAGACTCCTCCTCCTCCAGGTAGCCTCAGAAGGCTACAGTACAAACTCTAACTGGTTCTAAGTAACGCCCTCTCTTCCTAACTGCCTTCTCTTCCTAAGAAGTGTGACTTAGCTCCATGGCTTTAGATATCATCTAAATACAGATAACTGCTACATTTCTATCCTTAGTCTTGACTTTCTCCAGAAATTCAGGCCCATTTATCTCATCCCTACTTGACTTCAGTTGGATGTCGAGAAGGCATCTCAAACATATCATGCCCAAAACAGAATTCCTGATAACTGTACCCTAAACCTGCCTATCCCCAGTCTCTCACCTCAGTAAATGGCACCACCCAGCTGCTCTAGCCAAGAATCGATCCTCTCACACCCCACATCCAATCCAACAGCACAGATTGTCCACTCTCACCTTCGAAACCTTCATTAGAGGTTCCCCTGTCCTACAGATAAAAAGCAGTCAACCAGTCACTATGACATCACCCTATTTTATCTATTTGCATAGCACATATCTGATAGTCCTGGAAGGGGACTGAAGGGAGGGGTGGGGAGGAAGCACATTCTATGACAGCAGGGACCTTCCTTGTACCATACATTGCTGTAGCCCCAGCACCTAGAAAAGCCTGGAACATGGAAGCTGCACAAATACTTGGTGAATGAATGAACCAATTTTCAGGGAGACAGACTAGAGATCCTTTACAAGGAAGAAATTCCCAATAATTTAAAGATGTTAAAAATTACGTCTTTGGATTTTGAGATGGTAAGTTTCCTGTCACTGAAATAATTTAACCACAGGCAGATGAGGCCCTATCAAAAACACCACTGGGGCTTCCCTGGTGGCGCAGTGTTTGAGAGTCCGCCTGCCAATGCAGGGGACACGGGTTCATGCCCTGGTCCAGGAAGATCCCACATGCCGCGGAGCGGCTGGGCCCATGAGCCATGGCCGCTGGGCCTGTGCGTCCGGAGCCTGTGCTCCGCAACAGGAGAGGCCACAACAATGAGAGGTCCGCGCACCACAAAAAAAAACAAAAACACCACTTAGGAGATCCTTAACTTGGAAGGTCTCTAGGATAAAATCTAATTTGTAAGATTCATCTCGTCATTCTCTTACTAAAAAAACTTCTGTGTTTCTCACTAAATTACACATCCCTCTGCCTAGCTTTTAAGGTCCTCCTTACCAATTTCTGGTTTGCTTACACAATGTTCCATCTTATTACCTCTACATATATACCTTCTAATTTCCTCACTGACAAATCTCATCGCCTAAATTTCAATCCTCCCATTTTCAGCACCCCTCCCCCACCCCACTTTTTTTTTTTTTAAACTTTACAGATAAAGCTGAAGTTCCTTTTGATTATTTACCACCACCCCTGGTAGTTTCAGTCCCCATTCCAACTCTTTAGAGACAATCACAATCATGAATAGTAGCCTTCTAGTCTTTTTAAAAAGATACACACACATACATAAGTATCCACAAACATACATTTAAAAAAAAACATGTATGTTACATTCTGTATAACTAAAAATTTAAATAGATGGTATACTGTATATATTCTGCAACTAGCTTTTTGCACTCAGTACTGGGGGGTGGGGAGGGTTGTCTTTTTTTTTTTTTTAACCTATTTTTAAAATCTAGGTTGAGATCCAACTTCATCATGACCTCTTCCTTGAATGTGACCGGCAATGATCTTCTGTTCTCTATTCCTATCCCGAGGTCTCACTTGTCTAACTGCGTACTCTATTATGTATTATCTTTAACGGACCGTAACGGTTCTTACTGTAACGTTCTCCTCTTGGCTATACCATAAGCTCTTTGACAATAGAAAACATGTTATACACTTATTCCCTGAAAAATCTAGAACATGTTACTATTCAAATAACTGTTGATTACTTGGCCAACCTGAGAGTGACAGAACCCAGAAGAGCTTTGTGGCAGGCAGAACCTAAAATGCCCCCCAAGATCCCAACCCCTGGTGTACAACCCTGTATAAGCCCCTCCCTTTGAGTGTGGGAGGGATAACCACTCCCTTGAATAGCTTACATTATATGGCAAAGGTGATGGTATAGTGGTGCCCAGGATTACATTCCATTGTCTGAGACTCAGTCTCAGTAGACTGAAGGGAGAGAGTCTCCCGCTGGTTTTGAAGAAGTAACCTGCTGTATGAAAGGGCTACATGACCAGGACCTGCAGGGGCCTCTAGGAGCTGAGAGCAGCCCCTGGCTGACAGCCAACCAGAAAGTGGAGACCTCTGTCCTACAGCTGCAGGGAACTGAACTGTGCCAAGGGAAGAGGAACCCATGTCCAGAAAGGAATGCAGCCCAGCTGACATGCAGATTGCAGCCCTGGGAGAGCCTGAACAGAGAACCCAGCTAAGCCGTGCCTGCCGAACTTCTGATCAACAGGAACCATGAGATTAATAAATAGGTGTGTTTTAAGTTGCTAAATCTGTGGTAATTTGTTATGTAGCAGAGAAAACTAACATACACTTTAAAAAATATTTACTCTCAGTTGCTGAAAACCGAATGCTCTCTAGCTTTGCTAATTTACAAAGCCAAAGTACAGATTACAATACCAATTCCACCAGAAGGAAAGGGAGCTCATTCATTATATCAAAGTATCATCAAGTAAAACAGAAAATGGAAAAGGCTAAACAAGGCAATTAACAAGAAAAAGAAACTTAAGAGGCCAATACACTCAAAAAAAAACAAAACCATAATTAAATAAATGCACACCAAAATATTAAAAAGGTACTTTTCATCTTTCACACTGACAAAAAAAGTATTGTTTGATAAGACTAGGCACTGATGAGGATGAGGGAAACAGGCTCATACTGCTGGTGGTAGCATAAACTGGTTAATTTTCTCACAGGGCAATTTGGTAATACCTACTGACATTCAGAATGTACGCAACCTGAGAATGTGACTAGCTCGTAGAGAAAACTGCATCTGCCCTACCATTAAAATGTAAACACAAATTCGAGATTTCTGGTCTTTGGTGTGACATACAAGAAAAAAATTTTTCTTTAATTTTTAATAAATAAAAGAAATCAAGAAACATTGCTTGCTACAATAGCCAGCTCAGAGGCCCAAACAGTGAGCAAAATCTGGTACTCTCCATTAATAAGACCTTCCACTGTTTAACAGAAAGGGGAAAAAAATGCATGTAGTCTCTGCCCCAGAAATTTCAAATGTTAGGAATTTAATTTAAGGATTTATTTGCAAAAGCACACCAAAGTATATGTACAAAGATATTCCTATATACTCACAAAGTAGAATGTTCTACTATAAAACTGGTATGATATAAACCAGTAATATAAAAGGATATAAGGTATATTAACTGAAAAATGAAGATGCTGAATGCAGAATATAATCTCTTTTGTACAAACAAAATAAGAAATACATGCATAAAAATTTCTGGAAGGCTAGACTAAAAACTATTAATAGTTGCCCTTAGAGGAAAAACCTGTGGGGCGACAGCTGATAAGATAAAGGCTACCTTCATTTTAATCCTTTCTGTACAGTTTAATTTCTACCATGAGTAATCTTTCATTTTAAAATAATTTGTGCAGTTAAGTTATGTTTGCCTGGTCTCAGGGAACGCTCAATTGAAATTTGGAAAGAGGGCAACAGAGCTTAAAGCCAGAAAAAAATAAATGTTTACTAAAATTAATATATACCAGTTATTATAAAACATGATTTCATTTACCCCCAACAAAATCCTATGAGGTAAGGGTCAGTTTTTAAATGACATTTAGTAAATTGCTCCACATCACATTGCTTGAAAAATGTTGAGCCATTTTATCCTAAAATTCATTTTATCCCTTTCATTTCGGAACTTAGTATAATTCAATACATAATTTTATGTATATGTCTCATTTAGAAAGGGAGACTAGTTAAATAATTAAGAAAACCAAAGACAAGGACTTGACCAATAATTGTTTGAATCCCCTTAAGTATACAATAAATACCTTCTAAACCTAAAAAAAACTAGAATAATCTGTAATCTATTTTAACATTTTTGTTTATAAATAATGTTCAGGTAAAGGAATAGCTGAGCTAGTAAGCCTTGCTGAACTAGTAAGACTTCAAAGCTAAGTAACCAGATGACTTCATATTCCTGGCTTAAGCACGTTCTCTCAACAGCATCCACGTTTAAAATTTTTTCTCTTCCTCATGCCATCCTTTACTCAACTAAGCCCTCATAACAAAAGTAAAATGGGTAAGCTCTAAAATGGCATAAGATCTTTAAAGACATTTCTTTAAATAATGAAAGCATTATTAAAAGGGTAGGAATTGGTAACTGATCTAAGTATGGCCCTCCCAACCTGGTACCAAAGGGTCCCACAGTGGAAAGACATGGGTTTTGAGTCAAACTCAGGTTCAGATTTTGCTATGCCACTTACAGCTGCCTGTATGTTATGGTATAATTACAATAATGTGAAAAATAATATATTCATAGAAAAAAGACTGGAGGAGTCTACACAAAATTATTAACGGTTATCTCTGGATGGCAGAATTGGGATGATTGTGGGTTTTTTTTTTTTTTTTTTTTGGCTGCACCACACAGCTTGCAGGATCTCAGTTCCCCGACCAGGTATTGAACCTGGGCCACAGCAGTGAAAGAACTGAATCCTAACCACTAGACCACCAGGGAACTCCCCTGGTTGTGTTTTTCTTTATACATCCCTATATTGCTGAGACTTCCTACAATAACACTTTAAAAATTACTGTTTGCCATGCAGAATGAACTTTGATTTTGTATAAATCCATTAATATCAGGGAGAAGGGGCTAAGCTTTTGTTGATATGATGGTATTGCATTTTGCTCATTTACCTCCCTCCGTATGCATGAAAGACAACAGATTCCTTTCCTGTACTAATACAGCCAGTGATTGTCTCCAACATTCCACAGTTGACCATTTTATACATAAGTAAACGTGTCTTAGGATCAACTGCTTTTTCCTGCAAAAGATAAAGCACTGTAAGTGAAAATAACTGGTAATCACAAAACATTTTCTGAGCCATTTATAATATCTAACATTCAAAATATATACTTTTTTTAACCTTTATTATTAATTTACCTAGGTGTATATACAACAGGCTCTTAAAAGAGTGCTGTCAAGATACAATTCATTTCTGTAACTCTAATGTCTTTGAAAGTGAATATCTAAAAGAACCATTAAAAATCAGACTCTAGCTTAGTCAAAATTTTACCTCCAAAGTTTAAATAGCTCTCCTAATGTACTTACCATTACTTTGTTTTTCTAAAGGTTTAAAAATTATTCTCAAGATATTATATACTATCTTTGTTAAGGTAAAACATTACAGACTATTAAGTTATTATAAATACGTCATGACAGGAAACAACTTTTCATACGCAATGTAAACTACACAGTCCAAATTAATTATGACCACTGAAATGTTAATTTTGAATAAGTGATTAATAACCACTCCATGAAATCTGAAAAGTCAAATGGCAAAGCTATTTGGGTTTTATTTACATCTTTGATTTGAAAAGTCAATCAATCTCATGAAAAAAATATCAAACATGAAGTTTTATCTTGTTTTTTCCCTGAACATGAAGTTTTCTAACATGAATCTTTCCACTAAAAAAACAGAAACAAAAACGTTAAGAATACTTACTGCAGTAGAATGCTCCTTTTTCTCATGGAGGCGGGCACTTCGACGTTCTTCTGAGTAGGCATGTTGTTTTAAAGCATTGAAAACATGGTTTGATAGTTTTAAATCCATTCCAATTCCATCTCCTACCTGAAACCCAGGTGCAAACTGCCAAAAAGAAGAAGAAAAATTAGCATCTGAGTACTTTAAAATGGGGAAGTGAAAACAAAAAACAATGAGAAAATCAGTTTTACGTGGATTGGGTTTTCTACTCAATAGATGATAATGCTATGAAAGCAGAACCCACAGGTATTACAAAGGAAAAAGCAAAATAACTCACTGGTAAGCCCAACAGAAAGGGAAACAAGGCTTTTTAAGAAACTGTATCCCAAAGGAAGGGAAGGTTTATTTTTATTTTTTATTTTTTACTTTTTGCGGTACGCAGGCCTCTCACTGTTGTGGCCTCTCCCGTTGCGCAGCACAGGCTCCGGACGCACAGGCTCAGCGGCCATGGCTCACGGGCCCAGCCGTTCCGCGGCATGTGGGATCTTCCCGGACTGGGGCACGAACCTGTGTCCCCTGCATTAGCAGGCGGACTCTCAACCACTGCGCCACCAGGGAAGCCCCGGGAAGGTTTATTATATGCATAGAAAACATCCAAACACATCTAAAAACTAACGTAGTTTAGCATATGCTTTGAACATATACTAAAATACCTTATGCTTTTACATCAGACAATGGATACATTATATTTTGAAATGATACCAAATCTTACCAAAAAAAAAAAAAATTTTTCATAGTCAATTATTTTTGAAGAGTGGGTTAAAATCACAAGCTATGCCCACACCGTGACAATTATGTTCAATACGGAAGCCACTAGCTACATGTGGATAATTAAATTTAAATTGATTAAAATAAAATTAAAAATTCAGTTCCTCAGTTGTACCACCCAAATTTCAAGTGCTCAATTGTCGAATATGGCTGCCATATTAGACAGCACTGACACAGAACATTTCTATTATCACAGAAGGTTCTACTGGACAGGGTTGTTCTAGAGTCAGATCTGGATTATTTCTAGAATATGTTTACTTAACAAGTATTTGTATTCTAAAGTCTAAATGTTTTATATTAACCACGATAATTACAAAGGAGGAAAAAAATGCCATTTTTCTTTTTCTCCTTCTTTTTTTTTTTTTTTTTTTTTTTTTTTTTTGCAGTACGCGTGCCTCTCACTGCTGTGGCCTCTCCGGTTGTGGAGCACAGCCTCCAGACGCGCAGGCTCAGCAGCCATGGCTCACGGGCCCAGCCGCTCCGCGGCACGTGGGATCTTCCCGGACCCGGGCACGAACCCGTGTCCCCCAGCAGGCGGACTCTCAACCACTGTGCCACCAGGGAAGCCCTCTCCTATTTTTTAAAAATTACATTGTGTCTCTGATTTTGCAGGGGTAGTTCAGGCACAAGATAAAAAATTCAAAAATTATAACAGGGTACACAGTAGAAAGTATTTTTATCTCCCATTCTTATCCCCCAATCACCATTGTTATCTATTTCTTGGGTATTTTATGGAAAATAAGATGCTGAAAAATAAATGTTACTTTCAGAAGAACCATTTCTTAATTTTAGAATCAATGTAAATCAAACTAGTTTTCTTAATATTGATGTAGGATTTTATTCTGAGGTACATTATATTCTCATTAGTGGCTCAGTTTCCACGGTGTTGCTGTACTGTCATCTAAAATATCTTTAGACAGGAGGAAGGATATTTCTAGAGATTTAGAGCTACTGTATTTAGAATGCTATGCTGTTCACTTATTGTCATAAACTTTTCGGCCCAGAGGAATACTTCTGTAACTTACATGCTCCATTCTGGCTGTATTCTTTCTCCCACACACTACTTCATCATGTTTGGTGGTGATGTCTTTTCCTTTTCCAATAAAACCCTTTTTGGGAGTAGGAACTGGTTTTGCTAAAGGCGATTAAGACAAGCCAAGTATGTAAAAATAGCAAAGACTAAATTGCTGCATTCACTATTATCTGAAAAAGATACTTGAATCTAAGAGTAAATTACCAAATGAGATTCAAAGACAAATATAAAATACTTAGTCTTCCTGCATCCCCATTCTATGCCCCCAGAAAATAAAAGCACTGATACCTGGTCTGTAGGGATCATCACGAGTATCCTGCCAGTCAACCTCATCTTCAGAGCTATCACTGTCTTCATAAGGATGTACTTTTCGATAATTTTCAAAGGAAATGGAAACTTAAAAGGCAAAAATGGTTGAAGATTTATTTAGGGGCACATTACAAGCATTTTCTACCACCCGATGGAGTTGACACAACAAGGTCATAGTACCTTTGCTATCTCCATTGAATTTTTTTTCTTCACGCCTAAGCTGTGCATCATATTCTCTGTCAAATTCCATCTGTAGCATCTGAGCCAGCATTAGGTCGCTGGAAGTGTCAACGTTTTCTCCAGTAATAAATGGTCCTTCAGCAACGCTATTCAAAATAAGGCAGTATAGACTAATATAATGTGCTTGTGTAAAGAGACGCTACCAGTTATGGGTGAGATGTGCCTTTTCAGTGCTAACTGTATTGAAGAAACAATGGAAAAGAACTTTACCAAACCCTTCACCCTCTCCTGCCCAGCTGCCCTCTGACCAACAGCAGGCACCTGTGAAAGCACCAACTAGGATTAGGAGAGCTTCAAGAGAAAGCTAAAGGGCCTATAATAAAAACCAAACAGACCCAAAATTTGTTCATTCTGTGTTCTGATCAAAGGAGAGATAACATATATATGAAAAGATAAACAACAAACATTTGATCAAAACTGTACCCTACTTCATTATTTTTTAATCTATTTGACAATAGAGTTCAACTGTTGCAATGACTGAAACCCAGAGAAACAGAGTGGTTTGCCCAAGATAATACTGAAAACTAGTCACAAAATTAGGACCAAAACCCATGTATCCCAATACGGTGCTCTTTCTATTGCACTGCTTTTCTAAATGTATTTCTGAATCATTTGTCATGACAATCACTAATCAAATCCTAAGACTGTTATAACATCTGCTAGATAAAATAGAGTCTCTATGAATTTTACTCACACAACTTCAGGAAAAGCGGCAGCTTCTTCTTCCAGCTGCAATTCTTTAGCCAACTGTTCACTCATTACATCAGACAAAGAACAAGATATTGTATTTTCAGGGGTAGCCCATGGACACTATAAAAAAAAAAGGGCAATTCAATTCATAATAATGAACTTAAAAGTACTTTCCAAACTTGGAAATAAGGTTATCTTTTGAGAATTAGACTATCTAAATCAACTCAAAAGGAATGCTTACCTTTTCTGCAGAAATCATCTTAAAAGTAAAAATATATCCCAGCTCAAATCTCATCAAAGATAAGCCTAAATTACGACAGCCAAAAGCACTCTCTAGCCTGCTTGGTGGGTATGTCCTTATAGTGGAGGGGAAGCACAGGCTACTGTAGCATCACCGACTAGCCAATGAGTTCATGTAATGCCCCTTGTTCTGATTCCATGCTCAGCAAGCAACCTTCTGCTTATAGTTTGGCTTCTGGGTAGATTCTCTTATAGGAACAGGCTATACCAACTACTACAATTCAAGCCCACTTAGAAGTTACACTTCCTTCTAATTTAAGCAGTAAGTCTTCTACATGTAAAAAGTGTGTGGCAGACCCTTTCAAGACACCTTGGAATATGCCAAAATAAAAACAGCGATAACAAACAATGAATCCTATATTTCTGAACTTTGGAAGCTGAGAAATAGATTCTTGAAACAATACTACTAGAGCAAAGTAATACTCTGTGAGACTCTTCTAGAGCAGCCAGCCACTCAGCCCTCCTCAATGGCATCACTATCTCAGCCCTCTTGAAATACGTACAAACCGTAGGTTTACTTCACAATTCCTAATATTTGAGGGGGGCAGGCTTTACTTAGCAGCAGCAAATGATTCCATTTGATAGTCTAGTGATTAAGACTGTTAATACTGAATAAGATGTCTAAGTATCTCTTGAACCTGCCCAGCTCTCTATCCCCTTTCCAAGGTATCATCCTCCCATCACTGGGCTACTATAAGAGCCTCCTAACTCATCTTTCTGCTTGCTTCCATTCTCCACAACACAGCGTAATGGTTTTTCTAAAACGCAGATCTGATTGGTTCAGTTCCTTACTTAAAGCTCTTTATTGTTTTAATGTTTCCCACTGCTTTTAGGATAAAATCCAAACTCATTGCTTAACTATTACTGAGAGTCTAATTTAGAATATAGCATATGATGCTAAGTGTTTTGGCCACAAAATTGTTTAATGAAGTTTAGCCAGTACAGGCCCTCTAGTTGGCCTAAGGGCCTCCTGGAGTGACTCCCAGGGATAACTGGGCAACTTACCCTTGCTCAAGTTCCATAACGTTGAGGTTTAGGGATTTATTTGGTTCAAACTGTTAGGCTGAAGCACATAAGGGTGATAAATGACCATTATATTCATGCCTAAGTGAATGAGAATCAAGTTTTATCTAGTCTTACACTGAGACTGGTGAGATGCCCCCAGCCCCCACCTATACTAGCCTATTGCAGAACTGTTCTGGCCTTGTATAAGGCCAGGCCTGGAAACAACAGGGAGGTTTCCTCATGGTGTGGTACAACTTCCACTGACTCAGATCTTGTCAGCAACTAAGCACTCTCCTGGTGAGGATTTTGAGGTCTGTAATCTTGAAGGTCTCTGTAATCTGGAGAATATAGCTAATATTTTGGACACATGACTCTGCCGACTTGCTTCTGCATCTTCTAGGTAGAAGATAAAATGCTGCCTCTTACCTAGAAATGCTTGGTCTGATCAAAATCCAGGTTCCAAAAGGCAAATAACTGTATTCTCTAGCTCAGAACTGTCAATCACATTTTGCAATGACTAACAGTAGCATAACAGGCACCACGGGGATATTCTCTATACTGGCTAAATACACCTAACTTACACAGATTAAGTGACACACTGGAGTAGCTGCAATATCATCCCCATTTTACAGATTCAGAAACTGAGACACAGAAAAGTTTTTTAACCCAAGATAACACTGTTGATGGAAGTGCTGAGATTTGAACCAAGGCAGTAGGGCTTAAGAGTGTTTTGCTATACTGCTTCCCTAAACACCTTGTCCTGGGATGGGAGAAGCAAACTGCTGTACTGCCTGCAGTCTAAAATCCAAATTTCTCAGTAAGGAATGCCCTTCACAGCTTGACCTAATTTATCCTTCCAGTCTTGACTCTCACCTATCCTAGACTCTGGCAACACTAATTAAATGCTAAATATGGCATACTTTCACCCTTCCATGCCTTTCACCCCTCACACATCCCCTTCTCTCTCAAAGGTTTTTCTTCCTTCTCTATTTCGCCCAATTAAGTGTCAGCTCTTCCACAGGGTTATCTCAGTTTTATCAGGCAAAATTAGATCCTTTCCTTTATCTTCCCATATCAGTATCTGATAGATAAATGCATCAGCCACAACACAGCAAGAGCCCCTTGAAGGGCAAGGTCTTCTCATTCTCAGAGTCCAGTGTAGAGCTTCAGACATAACGAGGCATTCAAGTATTTACTGAACAAGATGTGCCAAAAGGAAACCTGGAGATATCTCATGGAACTGCCAGGCTGTGCCTAGGCGGTAGAAGTCTGGTGCCTTTCTACACCCCTCCTATTTTAAAGTCCTTCTCTCCACCTTGCAGTCAGCCGCTTTACCCACCCATTTCTTTTGTTTTGTTTTTGGCCGTGCCACTTGGCATACGGGATCTTAGTTCCCGGACCTGGGGTGGAACCCGTGCCCCCTGCAGTGGAAGCTCAGCGTCTTAACCGCTGGACCACCAGGGAAGTCCCTGCCCACCCACTTCTGATGCTTCTACTCTCTTGCCAGCAGTCAATCAATTCTAAGGTGTTAAAACATCAGCGGAAAATCTCTCGGAGAGGCAAAAATGAGAGGCAGTAACTGTGTTATTTTGTGGCAGAGATTTACCTACCCCCAAGATAGACTGAATCAGAAAGGGAAACATGCAGAGATCAAGAGGGCACCAAGACACCCTAGCTGCCCACTCCTACTGACCTTGCGCCTCGGAGCCTCAGACTCTAGAGCCGTACTTCCCTGCACCTCTGCTGACCGGCTCAGCTGGGCAACCTCACACTGAGACAATTTCCTTGGGTGGCATAAATAAGTAAAGACTTCCGCAAGTGTGCCAACTTCTATACTTTGAAATCAAATCCAAACTCTTCAAACCAGTAGCCAAAATCCCTCCATAAAATGTTCTGGGCTGGAGGGACAGCTGCCGGGCAGGGACAGTCCTCCACAGGCACAAGCGGTTCACCACCCTGAGGGGGGCTTAGAAAAGGCACTGGGGGCTCCTCCTACAAATGGGCACCAGGGCGTGTATGGAGGGGAATCCTGTGTCGTCATCTTGCAACTCTTCAGTAAGTCAAACACTCCTTGTGAACAGAGAAACTCTGTCAAATGTTCAAATAATAATAAATCTAAGGAGATAAGAGTAAAAGGCCCTTCCTCAGCTTGCTCTATCCCAGCGATCCAACGTCCTTTCCCACTACTCCCTTCACCAACATAAACTTCCCACTGCATCAAGATCTGATGGGAAACTCCACACAATCCTTTCCAGTTAGTTATTCTGCTTTAAATGACATCTATCAAGCCCATCACTAGCTCCCTGATTCCGGTTCGCTGAAGACCCCTCACCCACCTTGTTTTCCTCTCCTCTGGGAAACTGCCGCCACTAAACTCAGCAACTTGGGGTCATCACAACTACCATTCTCCCACATCTGGCTGGCTGCAGATTAGCGGGAAATCATTCCCCCTTCCTTCTACTCCTAAAGATGCATCCCCAGCTGCCCATACCACTTTTTTTTTTAAGGTTTTACTGCACACAACTATGGGGAAAGAATCAAGTAAACTGAAAAAAGAAAAAGCAAACATGAAGGAGGCACATAATAAAAAAAATTCAGTCCTCAACTTGAAGCAAGTCAACAGAACCATAACCCCACAGGAAGGTCCCTTTTCTGCTCATGCATGCAGGTAGAAGACATAATCTAGGCAAAATATTTAAGTGGGTAATTTTACTTCTCAAAACAAGGATCTCTGCAAAATGTGATCTGGGTCTGTACAACAACACTAATTTTTTTTTTAACTTTGAATTTTAGAGTACTTTTAGATTTACAGAAAAATCACAAAGATTGTATTGAGAGTCCCCAGATACCCCATACCCAGCTTCCCCGTATTAATACTGTACATTTGTCACAATTAATGAACCAAATCATTATTATTAACTAAAGTGCATACTTCATTCAGACTTCCTTAGTTTTCCCCTAACGTCCCTCTTCTACTTCAGGATACCATCCAGGATACCATCCAGGATACCATCTAACATTTAGCTATCATGTCTCCTTAGGCTCCTCTTGGCTCTGAGTTTCTCAGACTTTGTTTTTGGAGACCCTGACAGTTCTGAGGAGTACCACTAATCCATTTGTTACAGCTCTTACCAACAGAGCTACACACTTCCTCACTTTTGCCTACAGTTTGTCAATTCTCCCTTCTTGGAATACTCCCTAAACTTCTTTGTTCATAACAGCAGTTTGGGATTTTGTAACTGGGGACCCCAAGTCCCTTTCAGGGTGTCTAAGAGGTCAAAATTATTCTCATAAGTTCTAAGATAGTTTTTGTCTTTCCCATTCTCATTCTCTCAAGAGTGTGGAGTGAGGTTTTCCAGAGTCTGTATCAGATATGATGGCAGCACTCTGGTGGCTACTAGAATGTGTGCATGTGTATTCTTATGTTTTCTAAAATTTTCAAAGGTAGTAAGTAGGCTGAGAATATAAATGTGCATTTTAAACTATTATATATAGGATTGATAAACAACAAGGTCCTACTGTATAGCACAGGGAATTATATTCAATATCCTGTGATAAACCATAAAGGAAAAGAATATAAAAAAGAATGTATGTTGGGCTTCCCTGGTGGCACAGTGGTTAAGAATCCGCCTGCCAATGCAGGGGACATGGGTTCAAGCCCTAGTCCAGGAAGATCCCACATGCCGCGGAGCAACTAAGCCCGTGCGCCACAACTACTGAGCCTGCGCTCTAGAGCCCGTGCTCTAGAGCCCATGAGCCACAACTACTGAGCCCGTGCACCACAACTACTGAAGCCTACACGCCTAGAGCCCATGCTCTGCAACAAGAGAAGCCACCGGAATGAGAAGCCCACGCACCGCAATGAAGAGTAGCCCCCGCTTGCCACAACTAGAGAAAGCCCGCGCGCAGCAACGAAGACCCAACGCAGCCAAAAATAATAAAATAAATAAATTTTTTTAAAAAGTATGTATATGTGTAACTAAGTCACTTTGCTGTACAGCAGAAATTAAACACAATCGTAAATCAACTATACTTCAATATTTTTTTAAATGTGCATTTTTAGAGATTAACTCAGTTTGTTCTTAGTGCGTCTACCGTGCTCTTATTACCCATCTTCAATTATGCCTGCTACAATCTACATATTTGTTAGGACAGACTTTCATCATATACTTCAACTAACACATATCACAACAGATGGAAGAAAAAAGGAGCTACGAGAATCCAGCTGTTTTCTATTAAGTCAGACATTAAAGAGATTTGCAAAAATACAAAACAATACTACTCTTCACTAATTTTTTGTTTTGGAAAATAGGTTTTCTTTAAATATAAAAATGTTATTTATATTAACATAATCACTTAAACATTTTTTTCAATATCTCAGTTTTAATTTCTGATATGACAAATATCAATAGATATAACCAATATAAACAAAAATTCTTGGAGTCCTCAATGTTTTTTAAGAGTGTAAAGAAGTCCTGATGGAAAAGTTTTGAGAACTGCCAGCCTTTAATATTCTTTCCATTTTCCAAGACTTTCCTCAAACCTCTACCTCCTCCACAAAGGCTTCTATAATCACTTCAGTCTTTCAAGAGGTTAGAGAAGGAAATGCTTAAGTAATACTGGTAGCATCTTTCTATTTGTTTTGCCTATGAAAATGCTGTCTTCTCAACAGAACACCAATAAACCCCAAGATGATTTTCTGTTGAACAATGAAAATGAAATTTTAGATGATGTACACCTAAATGAAAATATGACTGATATCAACTATTTTATTACTGAATTAGTTTTGAAAGTTTGTTCTGAGGTTAGGTATTCTAAGCAACGTTTGTTTCATCTGACATTTTTACAAGTTTTATAGATGCTTACCTGGAGGAATTTAACATGTAAAGTATATACTTACTAGTATCTCTCTACTGATTTCATCCTTTTATGTCTACTGATCTTGGCCTTGTAAACAAAGCCTTGATAGAAAAAAATACGCAAAGTAACACATAGATGTAACCACATTTGCCAATGGAATATTTGATTCTCTCTACGGTTGTATGAGAACTTTTATAAAAATTTACCTAAAAGCTTTACCTAAAAGCTACTTATTTCCCCCACTTTCTGTTAAGACCTAGCCTGAAGATCTAGTAAGAGTCATAAGTGACCCTTTATATGAAACAAATGTTCTGTGTTAGCATGTAAAGAAGTGCATGAAATGGATAAAGGTGGTCAAAAGGTAGAAACTTGCAGCTGCAAAGTAAATAAGGCATGAGATGTCATGCACAGCATGGTGACTAGTTAATAATCCTGTACTATATATTTGAAAGTTGCTAAGACAGTAAACCTTAAAAGTTCTCATCACAAGAAAAAAAACTGTAATCCTGTATGTTAACTAGACTTATTGTGGTGAGCATTTTGCAATATATACACATATCGAATCATTATGCTGTACACCTTAAATATGTTGTTATATGTCCATTAAATCAAAAAAGAACCATATGAAGTTAAAAAACCTTCACAACCTTAATTTGAGGAACACAAAATCCCAATTGACCCACTTGTTTTCAAGTAAACCCTCCATAAAGTGGCAAAAGAATCTTTTCATCCTTCTAATGAAAGTATCATGAAAAGAAGCAGCCTGAAACCAGAAACCAAGTGTGAAATAAACATTTTAGTTGGCCATTACAGGGAAAAGCTTAAACGTTAAAACCCTGGTAAATGAGAATTTCATAACCGTCTAAACAGTATGTAAACACTTGAGAATTAGCCTGGAGCCGAGGGACGGTGCGCCTGGATTTATCTTTTACTACTTCAAAAACAAGAAACTGCCCAAGTAGGATAACCACGCTTTGCCAAGTTAAGGGAACAGCTTCCTAAACCACCTTTCTGTCGGCCTTTCTGTGTATAACTGGACTGATTCACGTGGCCGGTGAAAAACAAGTTCGTGCTTGTTTTCCGTCAAACGTCGGCACCTTTAAGCGAGTCCTGCCCAAATATCTGTTACAGAGGTTTAGAAATCAAGGTGTAGAACTAGACAGAAACTCCAAACCGCCCAGGGTGGACTTTGGTAGCCTGTGCCCCTTCCCTGCCTCTCCCACCCCGAGCCCCGAGCCCCGCAGCCTCGCCGCCCGTCCCCCGTTCCGAGGTGGTCAGGGTCCCGCCCAGAACTTCCCGAATCGCCTGCGGAGCCGCTTCGGCGCCTGCCACCCTCTCCGGGCCCTCCGAGAGGACTAGCCCAGGCGACTGTGGCAGGTACGTCAGTCCCGAACGCCACTCACCTTGCTGGGACCCCAGGCCGCTGCCGGCCCGGGCTCAGGGGATGCCACTCCGACCAGATCCATGTGGGGGAAGAAGTCAGCGACGAGAACAGAGCAGAGAGGTGGCAGGACCGGGAAGCAGCCTCCACCGAAGAGACAGGCAGCGGGGTAGGGGCGACGGGGTGCTGGGGCCGGAGCTGAGATAACAGATGGCGGCTATAGCGCCGGCGGCGGCAGCCGCGTCCGGAACTAGACCTCTCCTCTTCCGCCCTTTACGCTGGAATGCTAGCTTCCGATTGGCCGCCGCCCCGGGCTCCGCGTTGGGTCACCGTTCCCCGCCCCCGGCGGACCGCACTTCCGGTCGCTGCCCAGCGCTCGGGACTGGTGGTGGCGACCGCCCTTGCCCGGGAGAGCAGCGGATGGGTGTGGCTTCCGCTGGCCAGGCTCTACCCTGTCCCTGAACCGCCTACCCGGTTGCCAGAGAGGGCAGCTGGATCTCGTTGAACGGAATTCGACTGCATGGACTATAAATAAACAAGCAAATCAGGCTCTCTGTTCATGCATTATTTCCCGGGTGAATTCTAAACTGGGATGGTATGGGAGACAGAAAATGGCAGGTTTAGAGAGGAGAGACTGAAGAAGACGGTCGGATTTTGTTTTTATTGCAGTTGTCGGAAGGAGGCGGGGCGTGGAATGTGAAATTTTTTAAATGTGTTATGTAACTTTGAGCAAAAAGAGAACTGCATAGGGCTTCCCTGGTGGCGCAGTGGTTAAGAGTCCGCCTGCCAATGCAGGGGATACGGGTTCGTGCCCCGGTCTGGGAAGATCCCACATGCCGCGGAGCGGCTGGGCCCGTGAGCCATGGCCGCTGAGCCTGCGCGTCTGGAGCCTGTGCTCTGCAACGGGAGAGGCCACAACAGTGAGAGGCCCGCGTACAGCAAAAAAAAAAAAAGAGAACTGCATAATAAAAGGTTTTGTTTGTTTGGGGTTTTGTTTTTGGCCCCGCCTCGCAGCGTGTGGGATCTTGGTTCCCGAACCAGGAATCCAACCCACGCCCCCTGCATTGGAAGCACAGAGTTTTGATTCAGTATTTTGTAGGGAGATTTTCAGAACGTGACCAGAAAAATCCCGAATAGGTAAATCAATGAAGACAGAAATCAGACTGGTGGTTGCCAGGGAATGGGGTGGGGAGGAGGGAAACAGGGAGTGACTGCTTAACGGGTAAAGGGTTTTCTTTTGGGGTGATAAACTGTTTTGGAACTTGATATCAGTTGATAGTTGCACAACATCGTGAATCTGTTCAATGCCACTGAATTTTACACTTTGAAATGGTTAATTTTATGTTAAGTGACCTTCACCTCAGAGAGAGAGTGTGAGTGAACTCCTTAAGAGTTTTAAGGGTAGAGCAGATGCAGGTTATTCCCAGATCAGAGGAAACCACAGTGAAACAATGGTGAGGATGAGGTCGGGAAGCTTAAGGGAGCAGGGTAAAATGCCAGCGTGTTAGATGGGTGATGCACATGGGTCTTGAAATTACCCAGCAAGATGGCAGAGCTTGGGGTGGAATTGGAAGAGTGTGAGCAGGTGCTGGTCTTCAGAAGATGTGCAGATTGTAATCCAGAGGGGTTGGTAGATGCTGCTGCTAGGGAATCTTAGAGACAGTGACAGCGGGATGGGCAGAGATGCCAGAGGAGAGACGTATTCCTGAGGCAGCAGGAA